TTCAACACCTGGAAGTGGAAATAGAATCAATATAGTAAATCCAAACCGAGGGAAATCTAGAAATGAAAAAATTTGGAACTTGAACGGGAAAATGAGAGGTAAGCTTCACCAACAGAATAAAAGAGATGGAAGAAATCATTTTAGGTATGTAAGTGTTACAGTTTGTATATGCTCGGCCCAGGAAGTGGCACTATTAGAAGATGTGGCCTTGTTGGAGGAAATGTGTCACTGTGGGGGTGGGCTTTAAGACCCTCATCCTAGCTGCCTGGAAGCAAGTATTATGCTAGCAGCCTTCAGATGAAGATGTAGACCTCTCAGCTCCTCCTGCACCATGTCTGCCTGGATGCCATCATGTTTCCCACCTTGATGATAATGGACTGAATCTATGAACCTGTAAGCCAGCCCCAATTAAATGTTGTCCTTTATAAGACTTGCCTTGGTCATGGTGTCTGTTCACAGCAGTAAAACCCTAACTAATATAGTAAGACAAGACAGAAGAAATAGATTCCTTGAACAAAGAAAATATTAAATATGAAAAAAAAAATTGGCACAAAAACCTCCAGGAAATCTGCCACACTATGAGAAGACCAAATCTACAAATAAAAGGAACAGAGAAAGGAGAAGAAACCCAGATTAAAGGCACAGAAAGTATTTTCAACAAAAATCATAGAAGAAAATTTCCCTGACCTAAAGAAGGAGGTGCCTATCAAGATACAAGAAACATACAGAACACCAAATAGACTGGACAAGAAAAGAAATTCCTTCTAGCACATAATATCAAAACATTTAATGTACAGAACAAAAAAAGCATATTAAAAGCTGCGAAGGAAAAAGACCAAGTAACATATTAAGGCAGACCTATTAGAATAACACTTTACTTCTCAGTGGAGACTGTAAAAGCCAGAAGGGCCTGGACAGATGTTCTATAAACTCCAAGAGACCACAGATACCAGCCAAGACTACTACCCCCAGCATAACTTTCAATCACAGTAATTGGAGGAAAAGACAAAAATCAAATTTAAGTAGTATTTATCTATAGAGACGTCTAGTCAATCATTTTCATTGTTGTACTACTAATAATAGACAGAAGTTGGAACAACCTAGATGTCCATCAACAAATGAATGATAAAGAAAGTGTGGTACATATACACAATGAAATATTACTCTGCCATTAAAAATAATGAGTTCACAAAATTTGCAGGTAAATGGATGGAACTAGAAAAAAACATCCTGAGTGATGTAACCCAAACCCAGAAAGTCAAATACGGTATTCCCTCACTTATGTGAGGATGTTAGATGTTAAGTCAAAGACAAGCTACAATCTGTAGACCCAAGAGACTAAGTATAGAGTAAGGGGGTGGGGGAAGGACAGATCTCCCTGGGAAGGGGAAATAGAATAGATAGTTGTGCCTGGATGATGGTGGGGAGAAGTGGAAACCTAAGGGTTCTTTGGGAAGTCGGTTGGATGGTGTTTTGCTGGGGCAAACACCTGGAGGAACATTGCGTTAAAGTGGACACAGGTGTGAAAGGCTCAGGCCAACTCATAAAGGAATGTTTTGCTGAAGCAGACACAGGAGAGAGGATGTTCTTCTAAGGCAAGCATGTGAAAGGACACGTGATGAGATTCTTTGTTAATGACACACATGTATTGGTCCACCTTGCATTATGTAGTTGAACTGCATTTGTCAGGGATCCATAGCGAGAAATGCACCAAAAAACTTCTGGTGGTGTGCTGCAGTTTCTTGTTGCTTCCAAGGACTGATCGGATTCACATGCTGAGGCAAGAGCCTTACTGAGGCAAGATTCATGGAGGATATTTGATGTTTGAAGGGACTCCACGGAGTGCCAGAGACAGAGCTTGGCTTGCTGGTACAGCTACCTGTGTAATGCTTGTGGGTCTGGAGTCTTCGCTGATCTTTGCTTCCTTGAGAGAGGCACAGCTGAGAACTTCTCCTGGTGTTCCTGCTGGTCCCTCTTGCTGACATGAGCTGGGGCTGAGGCCTGGCTGTCTCTGCTAGGTTGTATTGTAGGACTTTCGGGACTCGATTTGAACTTAAATTTAAAAGAACTCCACTGTCCCAGGACACATCCTTGGAGGGGCACATTCCTTAGTCAGAGGACACTTGCTAGATTAACATTCAGAGGAAGAAGGGAGAGGCTGATTAACATTCCTCAGACCACAGGGGAGGGAACCCACCTTGAGTGAGGAAGGCCCAGAGCACATAGACACATTCCAGGACATTCCTTGTCATAATCTGAGTCACCTAGAGACTTGACCTGGAAAGGTCAGACTTTGTGGTTTGCCCTTGTGAACTCTGTATAAGAACTGCCCACAGCTTTTGTTCGGGGGTCTCTTGCCTGTGTTCAAGAGAGTCCTAGTGCACTAGTATCATTAAACCTCATGTTATTGCAGTGAGTCCTGACCGTGTGTGTTTCTGTGAGTGTGTCCCCTGGTTTTGGATCTTAGAGTCCAACAGTATCACCAATGTTGCTAACCGAACTGGACTGCTGGTGTATCTGTGAAGTGTTTGTGAATGGATCGAGCTGCTGCTGCTGACCTGTGAACTGAACTGCCGATTCCCAGACAACACAGACACGTGTTACACCAAAGAACCTTTCTAAACAAGTCCACTCCGCCCGTATCCTTTCTTTTCCACTACCTCTGGGAGGTGGAGGGCTACAAGGGAGGTTAAAGCATTTAAGAACTATCATTAAAAGTAAGGTTTGAAAAAAATTAAAGTTACAGTGGGGACTGGAACAGGAGGATCAACCAGGAAGAGTAAGAGGAGAAGGGGATGACAGAGAGAATGTAGGGGAGGGACAAGTAAAACTAAGGCTATTTGAGAGGCCATATGGAAATCTAGTATATAGAAGCTTCCTAAGTTATAGTCATTTATAAAGGCAATCTAATGAAATCAATGAATTATGGGGGAGACAGAACCTCAACTAGACATCTTTGATCACCAAATGAAGCTTCATTACTGGGGATGGGTTACATCTAATCAAGTTGCCAACCAAAGGAGCCCCATGGGAATCCCCCAGACAACCCAGACGGTTCCAAAGGCGTGGAATCATATAGGTTGCTCTCCACAAACAGATGGCAAAGACTCTTGCTGAAAAAAACATCTGTACAACTCATAGGCGAACAAGAGCTGGTGCCTACCTAGGGCCTTTACCCCTACTTTCTAGTGTTCTTAGTATTGGACAGTACTCTGCTGTCTACCAAAGGAGAAACGCAAGCACCAGCCCAGCTACAAACCCTTCCAGCTACAATGGTGGCCTGCCTGAAAGACATGTCAGGGCAATGGTGGCACAATGCTTGTGGGAGGAGACAACCAATCAATATCTGACTTGATTTAAGGCCCACTCCATAGGATGGAACCCATACCCGATGGTGCCTGAATAGCCAAAAACCTTAGACTATATAACTCAGGGACCTAGGGGGAAACCCAATACTACTGTTCTACCAAAGGAGCACGGCAGCAGATAGACTCCTAACGACACCCTGCTGTGCTCATAGACCCGTGCCTTGCTCAGCCTTCATCAGAGAAGCCTCTCCCTGTAGCAGATGGGAGCAAATCCAGAGACCCACAGCCAGACAATAAGAGTAAGTGAGGCTCAGGGAACCTGTGGGAGAGGAGACAGGAGGCGTGTAAGAGCCAGAGAGAGACATAGAGGATACCAAGGACAGGGCCTTCTAACTACAGGACTGATGCAAGTATGAACTCACAGAGACTGACTGAGGTAGCATGTGCAGGGTCTGCATGGGTCTGCACCAGACAGAGTCCTAGAGCTGAGAGAAGTGGACACGTGCCCCATCCCTAAGCCAGAAGCTAGCTCCAAGTGATAACTGATTGCAAATAAAATAAAATTAAATTAAAAAAAAAAACCTCCTCCAAGGGAGACTCACTGGGGAAACAAACTACTCTTAAGGGAAAGCTGCATGCTCAGCAGTAAATGGCCGACAGAGAAACACACTCAGTGGCATCTTTGGAGGCTCTTTGTCTCATAATGTCAGATCAGGGCCTTTTATTTTTTATTTTATTTTTTTTTTTGGTTTTTCGAGACAGGGTTTCTCTGTGTAGCCCTGGCTGTCCTGGAACTCACTCTGTAGACCAAGCTAGCCTCGAACTCTCGAACTCAGAAATCCGCCTGCCTCTGCCTCCCAAGTGCTGGGATTAAAGACATGCGCCACCACCGCCCAGCTGGCCTTTTATTTTTGATTTTGAGTTTCACTCTTATTTTTTTCCCTATAGGTTTTGCATATATGTGCCTACAGTTTTGTGTTCTTATGGGATTCCTGGATGTATAACAAGTGTGGGTCTCTGTGTCTGTATCTGTTTCTTGGTTTCTTGTCCCTTTTCTTGGGAGCTTTCCCTTCTACTTGTTTGTTTGGCCCTATTCCAATTAGTTTCTTTTTCTTTTATCTCATTAAATTTTATTTACTTATTTATTTTTATCCCTTAGCTACCTGTCTGTTTTCTAATGAGAGGCACGAGGGGTTGGACTTAGACGGGAGGGAGGGGGCCTGGGAGGGGCAGACAGAGGGGAACAATGATCAGGATATAGTGTGTGGGAAAATCTACTTTCCTTTTTACCTCCCATAATATTCTTATTGATTATTTGGGAATTTCACATAATGAACTCCAATGACACTCACTTCCCAGTCCTTCCAGGTCCACCCTTCACCCTTGTGACCCTTTCCCACACACACACCTCCAAAAAGAAGAAAATAACAACAACAACAAAACCAAGACCAATTTGTGTTGCCCATATACTCAGTGAAACACGGTCAAGCTCCCGGTGGCCAGCCCCTTAAGGAAAACAGGGCCTTCCCTACCTCATGCCAGAAGCAGGGCCCTTCCCTACCTCACATTCGCCAGAAGCCATCGTTGTGGAGAGCTACGCCTCAAGCATCTCTATCTATGGAAAGTTTTAAAAGTTCTCTTCAACAGCTTTCTGTCTAGGCTCTTGCTTTTTAAAAAAATATATTTTCAATGAAAGAAAACAGTAATTTAATAAAAGGAAGAAAGAAGAAGCATTCCCAGGAATAGACGCGGGGTATGAACTGGGAAGGGAGACACCCCCCCACCAAGTGCTGGCCTCGAGGCACAGAACCCTTTCAGAAGGACATTTCTCTCACAGAGCACTGGCCTCTTCACATGGCCAGCTTTTCTTGCTCAGGTTTTGGCAAATGAAACGCAGGACAGGAAGAGCTCCCAGGCTCCTCTCATGATTCTAGACCTTGTCAAGTTGACATTGGTGCTAACCACCATAGACCATACAGCATCAAAAGCTTGAGCTGCATTTTCAGAGAGGCAATGTGGTTATTGTATGAGGTTGGAGGCTGAACTGAAACATTGGTTGGAGGTCAAGAGGTGCTCAAAGGTAGGAGCCAGGTGTACGTGTTGATTATAATGGTTGTTATTCTGGAGACAATACCACCGTCTGGAGCTTAATGGTCTGCAATCTAAAAGAGAGTTTCCAGGTTACTCCCAAACAAGGCCAGTTTCCAGGTTACTGTCTCTAACAAGCCTGCCTCTGACACTTCACTTCCTAACAATGCGGAGGAAAGCAGAAGTTAAGTTTATGGTTTGGCTCCCAGCACCAGCCAATTATGTTAAAGGGCAATACAAATTCCATAATGACCCCCCAATCAGATGTGTGCCAGGCTAGAAACCCCTCGTTTGCTTACCATAGCCTATAAAACCTTGTCCCACCGAGAGCTCAGCTTCACCCTCCTGCTCTGCTGTGTCAGTGATGGCAGTGTCCCAAGCTCAAACTTTAGTAAACTCTAGTGCGATTGCATCAGGAGCCAGCTCCCTGGTGGCCTGTTGGGGTTTATGAACGCATTTTGAACGGGCACAACACTATGTCAAAAGGAGTCATTTCTTTTGCCTCTTGCAGAAGGGACATATGGTTCTCTGTTGACATATACCAGTGGTTGCATATCCAAGCCCATGCTGGCTCCATGATCCCTCAGTTCCTATCCATAAGAACCGATTATACACTTCAAAGCCCCCACATTTCGGCCTCTCACCTTGTTTACCTTAAACTCCTAGCTTGCTCCAGCTCACAGGCTTCCCTCTCCCAGCTCCTCATCCTCTTACTGTATGATGCTTCCACACCCCACTTCACCAGCCCTGGCCATGTCCAGTCTACTTATTTCTCTCTCTCTCTGCCCCAGACTCTTCCAGATGCCTCTGGTTGCTCTCTCTTTCTCATCCACAATAAAAACCATTCCCACTAATCATGGAACGGCTGTTTTGGTAGTTTGTTTACTGTACCACTCACATACTCTTAGAACTTAGGTAAATTATTAAGGCCTGGATGGAATGTTAGGGTCTAGTAAAGTATTAAGACATAGGTAAAATATTAAGGTCTAGGTAAAATATTTAGACTTAGGTAAAATGTTATGGCCTAGGTAACAGCTACCTGGCTAGCCTGCTATTATAAAGAAACTTTCTCATATGTTTCTGCTGTTAATTACTAGGAGACTTTCTAATGCCAAGATTGATTACATATTCTGTTATGTTCTATGCACTTGGAAACCAGTTACATTAGAAGTCAGTAGAACTGCTTTGTATAGTTAGTCACAGTAAGCTTGGACCCAAACCACCCAGCTTCATTTCCTGTACCTATGTAAGCTTTTATGGTATTTTATGCTATTATAAGCTGCCCCTGGGATGCACCCCAACATAAGAGAGATGCTCACACCAATATAAGAAACTATTTGGAATAAGACTTCCATTTTGAGTAGTACCAGTAAAGTTTAAGTTCCCAAGACCTCCCTGGAAGGTACTAACATCCTACTTGGCAGAAAGAAGCATGTACGTGGTAACTGACATCTTGGTTGGCAACTATTTAGTTAATGGGTCCATTTTTTCTGGTATGTCGATTGGCTTATAGGTAGCCATTTTGTCCCTTGTGCCAGGGAGTTTCCTTTTGACTTATCAGTTCAGCCTGTTGGGAGGTGGGTGGCAGGAGAGGGACAACATGCTTTCTACTTCCCGCTGACATGAGGGCATTGTTGCCAGGGCCCAGGAAGGCTGAAAGGCTAGTAAACGGCTGGGCAATGGGGCATCATCAGAAGCCTCTGATTAGCTGATCCAGTTGAAGAGACAGGGACCAATCACATCCACTGGACTAGTTTATATCAGCTTTCAACAAGTTCAAAGCTCAGCAGTTTGCAGTCTGCAGGTGATGCCTGATTGGAGTCTGCCAGCTAAGTGAAAAATCTGTTGAAACAAATATACACTAGAGACAAAAGTTAAAATTTCCTAGTAATTGGGAAAGGGGAGGAATCCCAAGACCAGGGGAAAAATCCTATTTTCAGGAACAGACAGGTGCAGAAACTTAGGTAGAACTTATCTGGAGTCATTTGACCTATGACAGGTGGGTCCAAGTCTTATGGACTTCTTTGATTCCCTGAAACTTACATGAATTTTTGGTTTACAAAAGAGTTATATTAGCATTACCATTGTATTGAAACCAACATTGTAAAGATCAGTTAACAGGTGTCTGTAAAACAGCAGTAGACTGTCTTTGAGTCTTAGCAAAACACTATAGCTTTAGGTTAAAAGGCACGAGCGGTTTTTTTCTGTCCAGAGAGCCAGGTATATAGATCGGGCGAGACGTCTTAGCCTGGTGAAAAGCACCAATAAGACTATATGTAGAAGACAACCAAGGAAAATGTAAAATCTTGAGCTCGTGACTGAGTAGCAAGCAGCCAGTGCTCTATCAAACTTTTAACCTTTGAAATCTCAGGGTGGTGATAGTACAGAAGAGGAAAGAAATCTGAATTTTTTTTATTTTTATATACCTTACATCATTTTTGAGACCCTCAGAATTTACGTTTTTATATCTTTCAACATTTAAATGTGTTAGAACATTTGCCAGTGACACAAGACATGAATAGGAATTACTGAGAGCCATCATCATAAAGCATGCTTCTGTAGTGGAAAGTTACATCTGAAACCTGCCTATCCTTTAATATGAAGCCTCTGAGCAAGGCAAACCTGCTTTCCTTCTTTTAATAAGAGACCTAGTAGTTTTAGCTAACTAGTAAACTGACAAACAAGGTGGTTGATTACACTGGGATAAGGAGCCAGCTGCCTATTGTTCCCTAGCTGACAAAACTATAGTTAGCTTATCAGTCAGTATGATCAGAGACCCGAGAAGGATAACCTCAATGGCCTATGTATGAATTACAATGACAGGCACTAGTCCATAGTCCATTACCTAGACAGTTATCCCGGGCTACTGTGGTTTCCATGGTGCTGAGCTACAGAGGCATCGGGCCATTAGGCCCAGGAGTTAAGAGGCTTTTCTGTGGAGGAGGAACATGGGAGACACTGCCCTTACTTTATCTAGGCAAAGTGGGGCAATCAACTATTCAGTGTTCTGCTTGTCCAGTTTGGGCCGGGCCCTAGCAGTGGGTAAGGTATTGTGGCCTAGTGGTTAGTGTTGCTACAATCCAGATGGAGGTGTTTGTTGCTGTGCCCATTATCTTCTTGGAGATCTTGGCGGTCACTGCTAGGATTTGGGAGTCTTGGCTGTCACAGTAAGTTTAAACATCTTAAATGCCCTACTCAGCAGATCTCTGACAAGTTTGAGGGCTAGTGTCCATCTAGCATACTGAGTTAAAACAGTCTGTTTTTCATTATTTGATTCAGGTTATACCTTGAAAACATATACAGGAGGCTAAATAAGACTTATTCCTGTAATTAATTACACTAGTACTTAGGATGACTACAAATATAATTCTGAACATATTAAAGATTTGATCTTTTCTATGGTAAGTAATGACATGTTTCATAGTTACCCTTGATGGTTTATAATAAGTTAATAGTTTTCATAAGACTAGGACTTTACATTACATCCTTGTTAGGTTCAGCCTTAAAATAATAATTTAAAATAGAAGCTCTTCTAGTATCAAAGTAAAACTTTTATTTCATAAACACAGTCCATAAAGAGACTGGGAACTTTCCTGAACCTTACATGATATTTCATTACAGAATGTAATGGTTTTCTGTATGAGTCAGTTTACCAAAATAGCTAAAACTTAACAACACTAGCAAAAGCAAGGTTAGACATTTCTCCTTAAATCAGTCTCTGTTCTCCTGAATAGATCTTAGGTAAAGAGAAGTATATTTTCTTTTTTCTTTTTTTTTTAAAGCCAAGATTAAATTTTATTTCACATTAATAGAAACTGTGAAAAACATGACATTTTCCCACATTACAGCACACAAATTCAACGTAATATTTCTTATCCCAATTAAATCTTTCCAGACAGAATAACTGAAGTAAATTTATGCTCTTCAAAGTAAAGCAAATTAGTAAATGACTGTTTGAAGTGGTTTTAAATCCAGACATTAACATTCAGCTTCATTGTTAACATTCTATCTAGGACATTCCAAAATGATCTCTGTATCAGTTAGCGTCAGTTATAAAGGTACTTCTTTTTGGTTGATTGGAAAACAGCAGGAAAAGCAACCGTTCAGAAATAGCCGTAATTTTTGCAACATATTCAACAATGTGGTAGCAGTTATAAATATGGGTTTTAATATGTTCTAACCAATGCTTATTACCCATAAATTAAATAATTTTCACCAGTATTTTGAACATGTTTATTATTTATATTCAAATGATTGTTATTTTAATGTGTGTAAAGGAGACTGATTATCAAAAGCTCCTTTACTTAAGATGAAAATTTCAAATTTGTATGTTACCCAGATAAAAATAAAAGTCTGATTGCTCATCTTGAACAGGATTTGGTTTTAAGCATAACATGTAAAGAAAATGTAAACTCAAACTCTTCTATAAGATGTTTAAGAAATTATATTTTAATAGCAGTCACAAGTATGTCTAAATATGTCAACATATTATTTACCCTTTAAGTTTTTTACAGAAAAATAAAACCACAGAACTATTACCAGGACTGAAGATTCTGATAACTCTATAGCCTAAAGTTGGACTAAGGTGCAGTTATTTGAAATATGTAACCTTAAGTAATGTTTGGTTTCTTTTCACATTACCTAGATCGGAAATATTGTATGTCTGTGTCAAAATGCCAAATAATATATAGTGACATTTTTTTTAATGAAAGAGAGGCAATATTAGTTTTCTATGGAAAAATCAAAAAACAAAGAAACTATTTTTTTTTTTCTTGAGAAGAGAAAAATTACATAGAAGGGGAAAAAAGCCTGGTTCCCCAGTAGAAGGGCCATTAATTGAAGAGAGCAGTATTACTTTTTGACACTTAAAAGCATTACCCCTATTATTAGGGATAATGTAATACCATCTGATTAGTTACTTTTCTTAGGTATTACAGTCACGTATGTATGAATATAAACATAAAAATACAGATACTGCATGGTTACTGAACAATTGTGGAGTAAAACTATAGTTTAACTCACAGAATTGAGAAGTCACTTACATCTTTTTTTTTTTTTAAGGTTTTTCGAGACAGGGTTTCTCGAGACAGGGTCTCTCTTTTACCCCTGGCTGTCCTGGAACTCACTCTGTAGACCAGGCTGGCCTTGAACTCAGAAATCCACTTGCCTCTGCCTCCCAAGTGCTGGGATTAAAGGCGTGCGCCACCACTGCCCGGCAGTCACTTACATCTTAACAGCTTGTTTAGACCTGAACACATTTTCAGAGAGCATACTAGTAATTTTCAAATGCTGTAATAAAACTCTGCTTGTGTCATCTTATTTTGCTGATTAATTTGAGACAAAGAAGCTAGTTGCTTCACTTACCTACTGTAATACTAGTATATTCTGAATGGTATAATACAAATAT